TATTAATTTTTGTAATATTAAAATCCGTTATAAAGAAATTTCTTTATTTGTACTTAGAAATTCTGTATATATAGGAGTTATTTGTAACATAAAAAATAAAGTGGAAATAAAGTAAATATTTTTCGTTAAATTTTTACATGGTATCAGAGTAGAGTAAGGGTATAATAAAGTAAATATTTTTTCCTAAATTTCTACATGGTATCAGAGCAGAATAAGGGTATTTTAGGATTTTACTTCTAGGGTTTCTGTCAAAACCCTAGAATCTTCTCATCAGCCACCCAAAACAGAGGGATAGTCTCACCAGGCAGTTGGCCGCCCTACTCCAGTGACTATCTCCGCTCTACCCAACCTGCCTACTTCGCCAAACTGCAGCTGTTCAAGCGGCATTTGGCGCGCAACCCTCTGGTTCGCATTCTCAACTCATCTGGTTCGCGTACCCGACGCATCTACTGCTTCACGCACAACACTTTGCTTGCTTTGTCTGCCTGCAGTGGTTCACGCAGCATTTCGCGTGTAACCCTCTGCTTCGCATTCCAATCCGTTCACTTGCAACTATGTGCACTGCTTCCTTCTCTGGTTCGTGCACACCTGACCTCACCCGATTTGCTTTCCTGGAATCCACGTAGCCACACGATTCCAAGCTCTCTGGTTTGTGCTTCGAGCTGTTCCGTTCGCGCAAGACACCAGTTCGCTCACAAATAGCTTCGCATATCCGACTTTGTCGCTCAACCCGATCGGTTTTCTGGGATTCGCGCAGCCGCGTGCGATTGTTGTCCTCCCAGCCGCGCATGGTCGAAATCTACCCTCCCTTGGCACGCAAATAACATTTGTTTCTGGAGCCTAAGTGAGCTGTTGAGGTGAGCAGCTTCCAAAGCTGATTTGAGCCATTTTTTGGAGCCGATCTGAGTTGTTTTTGGAGTTGTTTTTGCTGTTCAACAGATTTGGTTCCAATTTGTAGTAATTTGGCATCCTTGATAATGATAGGAGTAAAGAGATTGTTGGTTTCAAGTTCGAGTTACCTTTCATCAACTATTGGTACGTCAAAGATAGTAAAGTCAGGCATTACTCATCTCTCTATTATTTTCAATGCTGATACTTTGATTATAAACTCTGGAGGTAACAGACACATGACAGACTCTTCTAAAGATTTTCTGACCTATTTTTCATGTACTCAACGAGAAAATGTCTGTGTCACTGATGGATCATACCCTCTTGTATCTGGAACAGGTTTCATTAAGTGTACTCCGACCATTTCACTGACTTCAGTTCTTCATGTGCTTAGTTTTTTGACAGTCTCTTATCCATTAGTGCCCTTACTAGAGATTTTAACTGTAAAATTGAATTTTTTTCTGTTCATTGTATTCTTCAAGATCTTCAAACAGAAAAGACGATTGATACAGGTAGATTATAGGATGACTTGTATGTTTTAAATAGAAGTCAAAACGTCATTGAGAATCAAGTTGCCTTCAGAGATATGGATGTCAATAGGAAAATCCTATAGTTGCATTGACGATTAGGACTTCTTTCCTTCTTTACTTTAGAAAAATTATATCCCACATTGTTTAAAAGAATTTTTATGGATTTATTATTTTGTGATGTA